CGGTCGACGACCTCTGCCAGAGCATCTGAACGCGCGTTTCTTCGATTTTTCACTCTGATTTCAACCGATCACACAGGTCGTAAGCAGTGTTAATTTCCGGCGATGGATTTTTAAATCTCAGTTTCAAAATTATTTAGAGTTTGTCGTTATTGTGAAAATTTGAATTGCTTCGAGTATCTTAAAATACTTGAACACTCAAGACTTGAAACTGGAGTCGAGGATTTTAAGAATTTTAAGGCCGTGAATTATATTTGATGCGAGTCGAAGTGTTTCATAGCTCGTTTAATTGATGGAAAAAGAGGGAACATGTTTGTTAATTCTTAAATTTGCAGGTATTATTGGTTTATAGGTTATTGTAATAGTTTGTATCATATTGTTAAAATTTACGTTATATTGTTGTAGCTTGTATTTTACATATTCCGTACTAAAAACTAGTAGCCTTTTATTACTGAATTAATAGGAGGAGAAAAATATTTGATTATTGGAATTTTCGATTTCGATATTACAGTGTTTTCGAGGATTAAAAATGTAAATTAAGAAAGTTAACAATTTATTTTGATTTGTAAGAACGTGTCTTTTTAACTACATAATAATAATGTACTAATTTTAGAACGGATACTATTTGTTTCAAATTTATAAGTTTATAATTTTATACAACAAAGAGTTGTATTAACAACACCGTGTCATAAAATGCAGCTGAGATATGGAAGACTGTACTGTAGTAAAATTAAAATAAATCAAACATTGCGTAAAAGCTAACGACGCTACTTAAAGATTAAAATTGAAAGAGAAAACAAAAGCAAAGAAGAAATAATGAGTTATAAGGTAATCGAATCTTTCGAAAGAGCGAGTAGAACGTGTCGCGAGCAACAAACGTGCAACGAAGTGATTAACAAAGTGGACACGAGCATCTTATCAACGAGACAAATTGCATCGATCGCAGGTGTGCCTTGACTGTGTATGCATATGCATGGAGTTGCTGGCGTTGCAACGAGGAAAAATGCAAATAACGATAAGCCTCGTCGCTGTGATCTCCGTGACGATTGCACGATATTCCAGTCTCTTCTTGTTTGTGTATCCTAAATTCTTTTCTCCATTTAAGATGGTAGTTGAGTTTGATGCTAGATTTTAGATTGGCGAAGGCAGCGTCGTGCGCTCTTCTTTTTCCCTCGCGAAGGCTGTGTTCAGGTGCTCGGCTAACGACATCGTTAAATTTATCGCAACATTTGACTTCATTAAAGCCGGCAAATAAATTATTCGCCGCTCGATTCCACCCTGTGAGATATTCTATTTTTCTTGGGAGCGCGTGTGCGAGTGCGTGGAATGAAAATTACACGGAGGGGAGAGAACGTAAAGTGGGCGGTCCTGTAAACGCAGGAACGAGTTCACCAGCAGGCCAAATAAACGAGAGAGTTAAAGAACACCGGCACAGTGGGCAGTCCGCGATCCTTTGCAAAAACTTTCCGGCCTTACGGACTGCGAATTAACTATGTTTCATCGACCAGCTTGTCTTTTCAATCTCGAGCCTCTACTCTTGATCTGATTTCGTACGTTGGATCTTTAAATCTCGTGTAAACGCACGAGAGACCCGCGATCCAGTAAATACGATATTCTTGTGAATGCAAGTGAATGCAAATGAATAGAAGAGCCTGATTGGACCTTTTGTTTGACCTATCGAAAATTGTGGCGAGCGTTCTACTTTGGATATTTCATGTATTTGTGCAGATTTCGTATAAATACTAATACTACCACATCCATCAAAATGACTAGATATTTTTTTTTTTTGCAAATATTAAGTACTGTTGATAAAATCACTGTTGATTTGTGTTAAGACAGAGAGATGATAATTATGTGTCTTTATTCTTTTTTGACTTTTGTCATTAAGTATATATATATATATACATATGGTGCACACTATAAGTTGATAGTTTGAATACTGTTAATACGATATAATCAATGGAAAATTGAAAACTCTACATTCAACGTGTTTGCATTTTATGGTCCCTTGTGTAAAATATGTAGGAATCCCCATACTGATCTTCATAGTTTCTCATCAACATTCAGAATGTTTGTTCGTACAAATGATTGACAAAAGAACCAACGCGCAAAAATTCCCGAAATAAGTGTGCACATACTACGTGCGGACCTATTCTCATTCTTAATTCAATCGACTAGATGTACTAATTACGACTGCGTTTTATATTTCACCGAAACGTAATTCTCGATTTCTATCTTCTCTCCTGCAAGACTCCCCATGGGTTTTCCACTTTCCTGTTGTAAAACGAAAGCAGACTCCCGATATACGATAATTTCACGGTGTCGGCGGTTGCACAAGGTTCCTCTCCTTTTCTAAAATTCACCTCGTCAGGCCTGGCAATCATCGCTTGCGATCTTACGAAAACACGCGCTAATTAGCGGAGAGCGCGTGGCTGGTTGTTGCCGCTACAGATCCAGGTGAAAAAGGAAAATCGCGTGGGCGTCCGTTGGCAAAAGAACGGTGGCGCGATTGACGGTTGGGCGAAGAGGGGAATGAAACAAAGTGCTGAAGCGGTTGCAGAGTGCACGAGAAGTGCCAAGGCCTTCTCTCCCCGTCCGCTTTCTAACGACAATCACTTTTATGTAACTATTATTCGTTCTTTTTTTATTACAACAAACGTAACATACAAATCCGTCACAGTTGTGTCTGCTCATCTAATATTTTTTTATTACTATTATCATTATTATTTAAAGACAAGGAATACTTCAGCCACGATAGGATCGTACGTATTGCAGGGACGATGATCTCTCTTCTTCTTTTTTTTATTTCTTCTTCTTCTTCTTCTTCTTCTTCTTCTTCATGGGGGTTTTTGTTACGCAGCCCCAGTTATAGGGGATACATGTATACAGCCTTTTCGGATTTCTCCGACCAGGGACTAGAGGATTCTTTGGCGATCGACCGGTTTTACAGGCTGCGTGTTTCCGCGGAACAACGTCCGTCCCGGATTTTTCCACTTTTTTCCGGCAACAACCCCTTTTGCTCCCCGGATGACTTCTCACGTTCGCTGCATTTTTACAGACGACCTGCGCACGTGGTGTTTCCTCTCGACATTATACGCGAGCGAAGGAATAAAGAGGAGATAAGACGTCCCCGGGACACAGAGGGTTGCCGAGACTCACCCTGAACACGGTCGTCGGCTTAAGGTGGAAACGATCGAGCCTTGCTGCTCACGACTGTTTTGTTAACTGTCTTTTACGTGTACGTTGCGAGTGTATATAGACAGGGAAAATATTTATTGTCGATCAAATTAATTCAACTAATTTCATCCGTGTTTAATAGATTGCGAAACTTTATACAATTACAATTTTGTACTTTTGTCAATATGATTAAAGAAACGGAGCCTGAACAGAAATTTGTTTCTACAATTAAATATTACAGCAAGAACTCTGCTTTCGATATTTTATGTTACTTTTGTATAACGTGTGCATTCTTTTTATTTTTGCATTCAATTTTTGAAAGACGTAATCCGCAGATTAATGATTACTATTCAAAAATAAAAATTTAGAAATTGTTACAATATATTTTCTATGGCATTTTGGAATACTTGGTAATTATATATTATAGAAAAGAACAGCAATGAAATTCGTAGTACAATTGGTAAAGATTATATTTTTATACACTCGCCACTGTTTATATTTTCGATCTTGTTACATATATTGGATTGTTCGGGAAATTTGCAGCTTTTAAAATGGTAAATATATCCTGTATTATACGAGTAACGTTGGAAGAGAAGTATTTATTTCTGTCAAAAGTAATGCTACAGTCAAACAAATATTGCCTTTCGTTTGAAAAAATAAATCGAAATTAATTAATTAGAAACAACCGCTTTATAACAAAATGAATGCTGATTGTTCAAATAATTCCATTTATTTCATACACTATAGGTCATCACGCTGCCACCGTAATTTGTTACCGATTTTATAAAAACTTTATTTTTTAAAAAATTAAATATTGTCAACACTCGAAAGAATTTATTGAGAATGGTTTTCTGAAAAGAATGAAACTCGGTATATGAATATATATTATTTAATTTATATTTTGCACAATAAATTTTTCTCAAACCTTTACGAACAATCCAATATATTTTTCCTCTAAATGTGTGCGTACTAAGTAGCATTTTAATATTCTTTTCCCATTCCAAATATATTACATTAGAAATATAATTTTAATATTCGTACTTTATTTTCGTTTTTTCGAATATATATCTTTAGTAGTTGAATTTTTTTCTGAATACAAAATTGTCAAATTTGTTAAGTGAACAATTAGAAATTTCGCTCAGGTTGATAATGTCGAGGATCACCAAGGCTCGATCAAACCACCGTCGTTTAAATTAATATTCCTGTTGTTAATATTTATCGTACACGTGTTTCGATGATACTTGCATCAGCTTACAGGTTTCTATTTCAAAGCACACTGTTCTTTCGAATTATATCATACATTGTCACACAATCGTACATACCGTTTCCTATATGATATACAAAGATACGAAAAATAAATGGATTTGATCTCTCTTTGATTGGCGAAAGGCTATTTCATCTAAACGAATTAATTTATTGTATAAAACGGTCGCCAAAACGCATCCAACATCAGTCGATCGATTCTCACAGAACCAACTTAATATAATCATTTTAATATTACAATAATATATATATATATTTTTATACACATGTAATAAATAATCGTTTTTGCAGATCGCAGGAAAGGTAATTCCAATGTAACTTTCCCACGATCTGGGAACAACCGAGACACGAAATACGAAACAGAAAAATTATATCGATCTTTTTTTTCTAATCTTAAAATTAACAAATATATACAAATTTAATTATTTTCTATTTTCCTACGCGTTTCCACATCTCTATTTAAGAAAAGCAACGTAATATTTCTTTTTCTTAATTCGTAATATTTCAACGTAATATTTCTTTTCTTTTGGCACTTCGTTGTATCAACGCTTTTATTTTTCGAGTTTTTAATTCTCGGCATCTCGGGGCTACCGATAACTAATAAAGCCGTGTCCTAATCAGAACTTTGAGAAACTTTGAGGAAAAAGTTTCGAGAATCTTGTTACAGTACACTGTGGCTAAATTAAACAACTTACGTAGACATATATTTTTTTTTATATATATTTGTATTTTTAACGAGTGATTCAAGTGTATAGTAACAAAAAGTTTCAATGCCCATATATTAAATAGACAATTTATAAGAAATTAATTAATATCTATATCGAGTAGGAAAATAAGTCAAATAATTGTGTATTAATAATCAATATTAACAACTAAGAGCAAATTTATACATAGCATTCAGATGCTGTCAAATTCGAATTAGAAGAATTCAACATTAAAACATTTTCATTTTCATTTCGCCCGCGTAAATTGACAAAATTAGCCACTGTGCGTCGTTGAAACCTGTTCTTTTTCTATTTTTTATTTTTTTTATTATTTTTTTTTTCTTTTGCTGTTTGGTTTCTAATGCGATTATTTTTTACGGAACGAAAGAGAAGAGCCACGATACGGTTTAGGGATCGTTCGCATGACCCAATTGAATACAAAGAGAAACAGAAGAAAGAGAGAGAGAAAGGGCAGGGGAGAAACAGGAATGGAAATGATCGTCCCGACTGGAAGAGCAAACGGAAGTCAACATTAGTTCACGAGCCGTTCGTTGAAACGGATGTTCGAGATCCGACCGATAGCTAGTTACATTCTCCCGGCTCTCGTTCTTTAACTAAATCAATTATTTACAAGAATCGTTTGATCAAACGGCGAGCGAATTAAATGCGAATTTTCTTCGTTCAGGTACGCGTGAAAGGAGATAACAAGTTGTTTGAGAAGTTCGTAGCGTTTAGTTGGAAGATGATTATTTGTTCGAAATTGTTCATATCGAGATGAATGTTTCTTTCTGAATGTTAAATGGAAAAAAGATGATAAAAATTGATCAGTCAAATAGAAAAGATATTGTCCATCGATAACGTGACGTTAGATTAAAGATAAGTTGGCTCTCATTATCAGTGAAAGTGTTCAATTCTTCATTTCTTTGAATTATTTATTTCAATCTTCGCAAAATCTTTCTTGATCGCAGACAGAGTTGTGAACCAATGAAATACTGTAGTTCAGATAAATGTAGTGAAACGTTGAATGTAGCAACAAGAAACGTCTGAGATCATTCTTGTTACTTTTGAACAAGAATTAGATTTCAAAAAACTGTCGAATTTCACTTCAGGTTCCAACTCTATCCAAATCATAAATCCGGACATTGAATACAGTAATTAAATCTGAGATCAGTCAACGAGACAATATTTATCCAAGTCGTTTCGATTCATTTCAGTCTTTGCATAAATTTTTTTAAAGGCAAGCAATTCCTCGAAAAATTGCTCCGATAAATAGCAAAACCACACTACAGTTCCAATTATATGTAATAAAAATATCTCATCTTCCATTTTTCAGACGTATTCTATTTTTCTACGTATTCTACAAACTTATCAAGCAAACAACCAAAAAAAAAAGTCATTTTATGTACAAATTAAACCTCAATACTCACAGGGCTTCCAAAATTTCGTTAATCTATTTATACAACTTAATAATTGCAACTTGTTTCAAAAACTACAGGAAAACGTAACTCTGGTTTCATTTAACGAAATCAATTGGTTGGATGGTTCAGTCTCTTGTTTGTAAAATTTGTTCCGCCGGATATCGACGACGTTCAATCGAAAGTTAATCGAGGAATCGAAGACCGCGACTTCGACTTGCATTCGGCAGGTGTTGTCCGCGCGCGAGAATCGCGTTCGGTGAATGGAAACTACCGGTTTCTCCAATTCCCTCTCCTTTTCTCTTCCTCTTCATCTCTCGATTCGACGCGCTCTTTATCCGTGGCGTCGAATCACGCTCGGTTCTCCGGGGGAATCTCGTACAGAAAAAAAAGAAAAAAAAAAGAAATAGCAGAACAAAGATACAATAAATAAGAAAAATTGGCAAAAACTCGCCGTACTTCCTGTACTTTGCCAGGCGTCGTTGATGTTCGTGTCGCATGCTGAACGTCGCGTCTGATCAAAGCCTCGTATCGAGCACAGTTTGAATTCTGGAGAGCAAAAAGAACCTAGCTGCTCCAGGCAGCCAGACTTTCTCTCGACACGAGTTTGACGATCCATCGCAGTCAAGAGAAACGGATTCGCACCTAAATCGATCGATCCTTCTTAACCTTACACGATGTGATCCACGAGGAAATCTTTCGGAATTCGAAGTGTTAGATTCGATGTTTTTTTTTTTTTTCTGTCACTCTAACGTGTACATACCAGGACAGAGCACGTTCCTCTGAAAGACCTGCTTTCGAACATGGAATTTCTCAGCAGAGACGCGTTAGAGATCTAGAGACCGAAGACTAGGAGATAACATCATCCTTCGGCACAATTTAACTGATAACATTAGTGAAATTTTTCTTTTTCTTTTTGCTTGTGCCAATAAAAATTAAGTCACTAAGTTACTTGATCATTTCGCGAAATGCAAAACTTTCAATGCAATTTAAAATTCAAAATGTAAAGAAAAAAAAAAAACCAGTGGTCAATTAAATCACCAACCACTTGACTGTTTCTATATAACTTGAAATTGCAAGACTGCAAAGGGGGAAAAAATCCATTTGTCAATTCGCTAATATTATCAGTTATCAAAATCATTGCGCAAAAGATCCTAGGATCCGCAAATTGAATCCCCAAGTCGCTCCAGTTACTTCAAATAATGTTTCTTTCTCGTGGACGATCTTATGCAAGGCGCCTCGTTGCCTTTGGAACTCGCAGAACACTCTTTCCACGTGTTCCTGGTAGGTGTCACGGGATCGCTGAACCTCGTTTTGGCAAGAGAGGTCTTCTGATTCTGATCGTGTTCGATATCCCCCTCGAAGAATCGGCACATCTCTCGGACTGGAACCGCTCTGGCCCCTCTGTTGAGATCGTGAAGCGATCTGGCGCGTTGTTTCCCTCTGGGGCTCGGTTTCGAGGACGATCGACCAAGATCTTCCGTGCTCCTAGCCAGTCGACCGCCTAGCCTGCTCAGAGACTCGAACAAAGTCAGTTTCTCTCGCACTGGCACGTAATGGTCCACCCTCTGACACCGTTCCAGCAATCTGGCCACGTCTTCCTCGCACGGTGGCTCGGTCAGGACCGACAGAGTGGTGGACGACTTGGGCAGTGCCGTCGAATTGCAATTCTCCGCGAGTTTCGAGTTCTGCGACGTTTGCCGAGGCACGGGAATCCTCGAGGATAATTGGGCCAGCCGTTCCTTACGTTCTTGGAGCGTCTCAACGGCGGTATTGCTGAATTGCTGCGTTTGGAGCAATTGGCCCTTCTCTCTCACGCTTCTCCTTTCTCGCGCGCGGCTTCTTCTCTCCGTCATGTCCGTTCTGAGTATTCCAGGACTGGCGTTACCATTTCTCGGACTGTTGTTGTTCCTCTTGTCGTCCTCGTTCCTGTGATCGTCTTCGAATCGAACCAAGGTTGACTCGTTGGGTTTCACCGGAGGCAATCTGCTGATGATGTTCTTCTCGTTCCTCACTCTAGACGTCTCGTAGCCATTGTTGTCGCGATCTTTCCTCGTTGATGTTAGACAGTAGCTGTCGTTGTCGTTGCCGGAATAGAACCTGCTTCTTGATCTACTCGAGCCGTACGTCTTGAGGATATCGTTGTTGTTCTCTTCGGCTCTAGCCTTTCGTCTCCTGGCGTCTTCTTCCAATACCCTTCTGCTTCGAGCTTCGTTCTCTCGTCTCCTGGCTTCTTTGTACCTCTGTATTCTCTGTTCCCTGGTCTCTGGCTCGGGGATTGACACGGCAGAGTCCACGGAATCCACGCTGGAACGACAGACGCCGCTCCAGGGAAGGCTGTCGTCGCTTCCTTCGCTACTCTCGCTGCAGCCCCAGGTCCTGGTCATCGGTTGGTCCTTCGTTATTATCGTTGGTATACTTCGAAAGTCGCCCAGTAGGTCCTCGTCGCTCGAATTGCTGCTCGACCAACCCCGTAATTCGCTCCTCGCTCTTCTTCTGGATTCTTCCAGAATCGTCGTGGTTGTTCTGGGATCTTTCTCCGTGGGAGAGTCACCAGGCCAGCAGCGTAACTCGCTTCTGGAACGTCTTCTAGATTCTGTGGGACTGTCCGGTAATGGTACAGGCCCTCTCGGACAGATTGTCAGGATTTCTAGGAAGTTTAGACAACGTTGAGCTCGGAATGGCGTTTGTCTGACCAGTTCTGCCGCGATTGCTCTCACCCACGACCAATAGACGGTCTCTGAATCTGCCTGTGTGACAAAAATATATATCTTTTCTTAACATATATTCAGCACAGTTATTAAATATTAGATACGTTATTCAGATGTTAGTTCTAATACTAGATACATTCTAAATATATATATTGTTTCACGTTGTTGCTTGAATAGCACCATACAAAATATCCAACTCTGTATATTTTCGTGAGCCCAGACCAGAAACGAGTATACGTAAATATCGATATATTTGTGTGTTATGTAAAAGAAGAACTCTCAGCTTTGAATATGTCTACAAAAATGATGATATAAAAATTTTTAATTGACTTGTTACAATATATATTCTAGCAAAGTATCTTTCACTGAAAAGTACAACTATATAAATTATATGAAACTTGGCATCCTTGAATTTAATCTTTCTTCTTGTTCAATGATCATATCATATCACCAAAAGGCTATAAAAATTTGCTTCCTGGAGCCGAAATGAAATGAAATCTGACTCAGCCATCTTGGTATACATGTACAAGCACCAAACTCTCCGAGAGTGAAGATGCTATCGCATAATTATTCTCGAAATATTCACGAAAACGGACGTTAGAAATCTGCTGGCCGACTATAGGCTCAATTACGCGGCTATTACTAAGATCCGTGAATAGAGATACGAGCTTTGTCCGAGCGAGACTGGTGGCTGGTTGACCGGGCGAGAACGTCCTTTGAGTCAGTAAGGTAACGAGACGAAGGAACTCGTTTGCCAGGAAAGGAGGATGGTGGGACTCCTTGACAATGCCGGGTCATGGGAGAATGGCGCGCGGATCTCCCACGCGTACGTTTATCGTCGTGATCGCGCCGGCGGATTTTGACCTTGCCTACTGACCTTATTACCTTCCACGCCTTCGGACGGATGCGAGTTACGTCACCTGCTCGCGTCCTTCGCGTCTCTTCCTTATCTTAGCCATCGACCTTCGCGAATTTCCCATTGGTCTTTCCCATTTTTTTTTATATCGATTGTTATATGAGCGAATTAATAACTCCACTTTCGTGAATTTTTCAATTTTCATTGTTCAAACACGTAATTACTGTTGCCAGTTTGTCAAAAGATATATAATTTTATCTCAATGAGTTGTCAAAGGAAGGTTGTACAAATAATCATGAGTTCGTGGAAGAATAGCATTCGTAATGCTTTCGTTTTTCGTACATTTTAATTTACGGAAGTTAATTAATCAGCTTTCGAGTGATTTATACGAATCTTTCAATAGATATCCATTAGTTGAATATAGAACAAATATTCTGCTTCTGTGAATAGAGATTTTTTTTTTAAATATCCAAATAGTTTTGTGACTTGCATTCCGACTACAGTTAACGTTACGTGTAGGCAATAAATGATTCAAAGTTAGATGAATCAAAGCCTTTCGATAGTAGGATTGTATAACTAGATAGAAATCGAATCGCGACGCTGGCACAGTGTAATTAGAAATTGCGGCGTTTAGCAAAGTAGGAGCGAGTGACCAAGGCGAGAAAGTGTTTGCGGGCAAGGAAACGGATCGTGCAGCGGATAAAAGCCATTTACATGCAATTACATTGCGTGTTGCGGCGAATTATTCCATCTCGCCACCACGTCTTTATTTTATGTCCAGGTTCCTGATACCGTTGTTCCTCGAATTACACACCGAAAATCTTCAATAGTAAAACGCGAATACCAATGCTAAGTTTTTTTCATTATCATTGAGTTTTTTCTTATCATTTTCATTTTTATTTCTAATCAATTTATACAATACGAATAAGCCAATTACACGTTGGTTCAGAATTTTATGAGCGTAAAGTTGCTAATTTTACTAATACGACGTATCAACTAACGCCGGATTCGATAAAAAGAAAGGAGTAACCAAGAAATTACCCAAAAAGTGGCAAGGGTGTGATCCTGCGAGTTGCTGAGCGTGAACCCAAGAGCCAACGCGTGTGGTTGACAGAGGCTGGGCGCTGCCTGTCGTAGGTTCAATGCCCTCAACGGGAGCCTGGGAGTACCCTCGACCCAAAGCCATCCCATTCTGATGGACACGATCCTTCTCTCACCTAGATCCTCCACGTACAGTTCGCCTGAAACAAACGACAGACAGAAAAAAATAAATAAATAAAAATGAAACACTTAATGAGGATCAATCAGTGCCGTACGTACAGCCCGAGCCGATTCGAATTATATTTGGGATCGTTGGTGCGCGCGGCAATTGCCGATATGCTCGGCGACCTTTAGCCCCAATCATATCTAATTAAAAGTACCATGTCGGCCGTGCATAATTTATCCGCAACTGAGAGCTGTCGGTGTGTGTCAGTTGACATTCACTTTGATTTCGTTTCGTCGACTAGTGATACAACTTCAATTTAATAATATGTTTCGAGCTTTTCCTCCGCTCTCGAACGCAGGCGGACGAATCGCGTAAGCTTAAGTAATCAAAAGATTGACGTCATTCAATTGGACGGCGTAGGAGTACAAAGATGGGTGTCTCTGCGCGTATCGCGGGCATCCAGGGTGCCTTTCTCTGTCCACGGTTCTGTTCTCTCTCCCTTTTCCCCAATCAATTACCGCGCTGGGAACAGCACCTATACAACACACACCCACGTCACGACACCATCGTCGAGACTGTTTTAACCATAAGATAGAAATAGAACCCGGGATTCCTGCTACACCCTTGCCGTCGGTGTTTTCCAATTTTACGGCGCTAGTAAGAGACCTTATCCACGTTTAGAGGTACTGGAATATATACTTGCTGGTATTGTAGAGACGATTTAGCTAGATTGTTAGGGAAATGCAAATATATATCCAAACTATAGTTTTTGCTGTTTTATAGAGTAATTTTGTTTTATTCTTTTGTTTGCTCGAGACGTTTGAGGCGAATTGAACTTTCTCATTGTCTTTCTCGCTGTCAGTTACTTTTTTTTTTGAGGAATAGTCGTTCGCTTTGAGGGATATCGGATATCGCGAAGAGTAATGTAATTGGATCTTTGGAAAGACGAGTTGATTGATTAGAATTCTAATATGATCTAAATTCGTAATTCTACGTTATATAGAAACTTTCAATTATAATATATACGTACGTATTTATGAACGAGGGTGCATGCAAATTCAATTTTTAATCATCTACAATAACACACAAAAAGATTGGACTTTCGCGTGTCTTCCCGGAGTCGGAGCTTGCTTGATCTATGATGCTCGATGATCTATTCGTAAGTCTACATTCATGCCGCGAAACGATCGAATATTTTACGAGAAAAGTGTATCGAAATTGACACAAGGAACGCGTAAGGATTGAAACATTTGAAATTAAACACACGTGTGTATTATCTCCACTGTTACGAGATACCAACTGTATTATCTCGTCCGTTGTGTCAATTACTCGACGCAGAGCAACACGAGGACACGGTGAAACAGAGTAGTTAAAGAACGAATCGGTTAAGTACATCCATTAACCTTCAACGTGGAATTCCTTATCACGAACGAAGGACGTTCACGAGTAGAATATCGGGGGAAGGACGCGATCTACGGGATTCCGAGCGTTTTTTCGCCCGATAAGGAAGCGAATCGCCGCGGACGAGCTACGTGGAAGTCCTTCACCTGCATTCCCTCCTCGGTTGTTGCACGTTCACGCGGATGGACTCGACGACAAGCCTACGCTCAACGACCTACGACACACGCCCCCATCTGGTTTCCACGGAAACCAGCTGATGGTCGCCAAATAGCCGGCGATCATTTCCATATTCGCATCGATTGCTATTGCTAAAGATAGAGACAGGCTCGAGGAACCACTACCCAGCGTGACACGATACTTTCTTTACGCTTTTGACCTTACGCAAAGAGCATACATACAGCTGAGCATTTTAATAAATTACGAAGGTGATAGAGCGTGCTATCGCTATATCGCTACGTAGAGGGTGCTTTGCTTGTCGCATTCATTGTTATTGGAGTATCCGTGGAATTCTGCGAAGCTTTTGTAATGTGGGAAGGCTAGAAGGGTGGAACCACGGCGAGTAGGTTTTAGGTCGTGGTATAGCTGACTGAGGGAACAAAGCGAGTAAAACAAATACGATATTAGATAAAGAGACAGCTGACTGATCGCTAGTCGGCAGAGTAATCGCGCTATAGTTGAACAGTCAGCTGAATAGCACCACGGTGTCTAAACTTGCTCTATATTTTTATTCTTAGAAACGTGGTGAAATGAAAATAATAGGTAGTATTGCAGATGAAACAAGATGGATTTTTTTTTTTTTTTCTGAAAATACAATAATGTAGACTGTGGATTTTTATGCAAATTTATATCTTTGAAGATGTAATTAAAAGGACAGAATGACGATAGATTGTACCGCATCAAAATTGAATAATATTAATCAAATTTCGACTTCTTAAATTTGATGTTTTTCGTTTATTGTAAAACTATTTGATAATTATTGCAATTAGAATCATTCAGTCGATGAAAACCTGTTTAATGAAAATTTTATATAACACAGACGATATATCGGTAAAAATTATTTTATAAATATGTAGGTACTTTTGCTCTGTTTAACTCATGGATAAAATTTCACCCCTTGCGAATTTTGCCTACGCGAAATGAAAATAATTTATTTTTATCTTTCTCTTTTAATATAGTAGAGATCGTGAATAATTTGAAAAATGTTTATATCGCATGTTAACTTTTAAAATTGCAGCTTTCGCGAATTTTATGCAAGAGATAGACATAAATATGGGGAATTTCCGTCTTTTTTTTTAAAATAACGCAGATCGTGCAGTTTGAAGAATATCCATATTTTATTTAAATTCTGACGATCGTGCAGCTTTACGTAGGTGAAACCAATAGAATTGTGGAGGACTTCTCCCTTCTTTTTTTTAATCCTGCAGAGGTAATAATTGATCTCATGGATATTTATATCTTGTTTGTTCTCCGAAGGCTACGATGAATGAAATTTCACTCCTTGCGAATCCCGTGGGCGATCTAGAAATAAATATTGAGAGCTTCTTTCTACATTGTTCCAATTTTACTTTGAAGGATATTTATATCTTGTCCAACTTTTGGAAGGAGTGAAATTTGTTCTAATTATAAAATTCTAAATGCAATTTTAAATATTTCGTGTACTTCACACGCGTCGTATAAATGCATTAAAATCTGCAGTCTAATAATCGCGATATTAATTCTTATCTAAATCTATCGTAATTCTAAAAAAAAAAAGTTGTACGTCTGTCACGATTCTAAAAAAAGTTTCAAATCTCTCGTCAGTCTAAAAGTCCATCTCACCTTCTGAGCAAAAGATAATATCAGTGACACCATGATTAACACGTCAAAACTTCCAGTCACGTTGCTTTCCTGTCATCAAACACCACACCGGGATAGTGCGAATTAAAAATCGCTGCGCGAATTCCGCGTGCGGTTGTTCTCCCGTGGAAACACACAGCCGGCGCTTGCATAAATTACGCCGGCACAAATTACTGTTGGAGCGACACGCGAGTCGAACAACTTGATCGTGAAGTACGTGACAGGTCTGCCGATCAGGATACTATACTGTCTCTCGCGTGTAGCAAATACCCCGACAGTTTTTGATCCCGTTTCGCGAGAGATTGAGCACGTCATTATTGTGAAAGTGTCGCCGAGAGTCAATTCTCTCTCTCTCTCTCGTTGGAACTGAACAGGTCGATTGGAAAACTAAGCCACGAAAGTTTCGCTCGCGTGAAAATGGAAAACGAAAGCGGCGTCTCTCAAGGTGGACTGGCGTTTCTGGAACGAATTTTCTAATCTCGCTTGCAGCACGGTTACGAATCGTTTGGCGCGAAACATTTTTACAACGCTGAATCATGAACCGCTTTCAAGGCCGGTCTATTTGCCGGACGCTCCGCGAGAGATTTTCCACGAAGGGAATTGTTACGAAATCGGTGAATCATCCTCGTAGCTTTAGTTTTTTTCGGTGCCGAAGTTACGCGCATTCTGCAAAACGGAACATTATCACGCTCTTACGAGCCTTTCCTTTTTGCCGTTGGTAGCTCGAAGGCGAGGAACCATCTGTTTGGGGCGGGAAAAATAGCGATAAATCGCGTTTTCTGATCGAGTGGCTTCATTTATAAAATCTTTCGAAGCGAGAAAGTGTGTGCACAAATGTCGACGCGTGAATTTCATCTGTTTACTTCGGATAAAGATGGAAATATTCTTTTTCGTGGTATTTACGTTATCGATGGAAAATGTTTTTAATTTATCAGAACGAATTAGATTAATCAGAGTGAGAAATCAGAGTGATCAAAAAAGACCAGTTCGTAATTTCAGCCAATCGAATTTCAAATAATCTTGAAGGCCAAAAATATAACAAATTGTCTTTTTTGCGATACGCTACGTTTAAAGACTGTATATAGTGTTCTGTGATTGATTGTATCCATTGTCATTTAAGTTATAGGATTTTGAGGCTAGAATATATATATATGTATATACAGATGTTTCGAGTTAAAAGATCCCATAGGAGAGCCAGCATTCTCTCTCTTTCTCTCACGGTCCATTAAACCTGAGAAGCATATATGCTGCGGCATTCGTATAAACGCTCCATAAATAAGGCAATCCTCTTCTAGACCCGCATCCTGTCGATATGAAAGTTCCTCGACGAAAGCACAGACAAGGTATATAAACACACATATATATATATAGACTATAGAAACCAGTAATGAAAACCTTATTTCTGAAACCTGGAGGATTCTCGATACCAAATACGCGTTGATTAATCTCTTAACGACAAAATTATAAAAGTTTAAACATTGAAATTTAAATTACGACAATTTATTGAAATTAAAATTGAATGTTGAAATTTACTCTGGAGTTAGAAATTATTAGAATGAAAATTAATGTTGTCACGGGCTTAATAACAGTTGAGGAGTTAATTATTATCCATTATTGAGTGGCAAGAGATCTTCGACGGGATAAACACGACTGTTCAATCTCGAAGAAGATAAATGAAAGTGAAGGTTCGTTTGTAGGATAATCCCTTCCCCCATTCACGAATTTTTAATCTGAAGATGCATGAATATGTATGAACGTACAGAAACGCTGAGGCGTTGGTTGGTTGATTGTTGGCAT